GGTCATAGGTGTGAAGAACCACAATCACATCTCATTCACATTCCACACAACATCTCATAGTTCAATTCCATACACACATCAGATAAGTCCAAAATAATGGGTTTCATACACCTCAAGCAATTCACATCTAAATCATCAATTTTTATCAAGTAATATAGCAATAACATTCATAAATTAATATAATAATTAATGGAATTATCAATTTAATATAATTTTAACATAAACAGTAAAACCCCCAATTATTCCAAAACCTAACTCACAAGCACTTTTCTACAATTTCGTTCTCCCTCTCAGATCATCATTCTTACAAATTAAATATATATTTCTAATCCTCAATACATACAGAATCTAATGGGATCATCAATTTCTCAAACAGAAACGATCCAATTTTTTTCAAAACCTAATTAACAGGCACTTTTCTATAATTTCGTTCACTCTCCCAAAGCATCATTTTTACAAATTAATCATATATTCGTAGTCCTAAATATATACAGAATCACATAAGAACAATAGTTCTCCAAACAGAAATAATTATAAAATTACTCATAATCCTAAGGGACTCTTCCTCTACCCAATTCCCTCATGTAACTCTACATATAAATAACTCTTTTTTCCCCCGTACCTGGATATATATGTAGAAGCTGAACCTACACAAGATCTGGTTGATCTCCCTCGCTAGGTTTCCCTCGGTCTGAAGCAGAAAGTAGAGGGAAAGAAGAGAGAGCAGAAAAAAAGAAATCAGAAAATGAGAGGTGTGCTTTTTGGGAGTGACAGAGAGCTCAATTTATATGCATCAGGCTTCGTCGGAACGGCCTGTTCCAAATTCGGAACGGCCCGTTCTGGACCCTTAAATCATGGGTAAAAATCACATCCAGAACGGCCCGTTCTGGTGTGCATTTATTACTTATAACGGTCATATTTTGGAAACGGCCTGTTCCAAGCCCGTTCCCATTTAGGATTATAGGCAATTTTTAATAGTCCGAAACGGCCCGTTCCAATTTCGGAACAGCCCGTTCCAAGCTACTAAATCACCCCTATACATTAATAAAAAAATTATCAAAATACCCTCAATTAAAATAAAAATAAAAATGAAATAAAAACTGAGGTGTTACATTTTTGTTATAAACTTATAAATTTATTACAAATTTTAAAAAATAAATAAATAAAACTTCTAATCATTTTGTATTATTGTTTGAAACTTATTATCACCAATTATTTCTTATTGATAAATTATTTTTAGTTTCTTTCTTATTTTTGTGACTTATTAAAATTGATTATAAAATTGTTGATGTTATTTTATTTTTTATATTCAATAATATAAAATATTGTGATTACTTTTAATCAATTATTTTATGTTATGCAGATGAACTTTTTTATATATATTTTTGTTTATTCTAACAATTTGAACTTATGTTATGCATAAGGGATATTTATGTTTCAAAATTACTAGATTTAAAGTTGATCAACAATTTTTTTTATTGGTGGAAAGAGTCATTTGACAAAGCATCTTAAAAAAAATGTGCGAAATAATCATTTCACAATCGGATTTTATTGTTTCAACATTTTCTTTGTATTATATATATATATATATAATATGATATAATGTCAAACATTAATTAATTGCATTATTTTATAATGTCACCTAGAAAATATGAATATGGTTATTCAAAACTAAAAAAAAGAGTGTCAATGCATTAATTGAGTCACAAAAGGAGGCTATAGATAGATTTATCAAAACAAATAAGAAAAGTAGAGTTGAAAACATATTTAGAATAAATAAAACATATTTAGAATATTTATTTTTAAAGAAAGTTAAGTTCAAACCTACTAAATTATAATATCATATAGTTCAACCTACTTTATTTTCATCCTTAATTGTAATTATAGATATAAAAATTTGTAAAAAATAATTTTGATATATATATTTATACTTTTAAAAATTATATGTAAAATTTTTAATACTACAAATATATGAATAAATATTGTTCCTACTATCTAAAGTTCTTGGATCCGTCACTACACGAATCATAGAGTAAAAGCAGGAAAAATGAAGTTTGTTATAAAAGGAAGAAAAATAGAGAGAACAAATAAGACAATATGAGATGGAGAAAAAAATTTGACTGGGGTGTATTATCTTTGGGAGAGGACTAACCTGTTTATAAGTAGATGTGGTAATTGAACAATTACACAATAAAGGGAATAATACATAACGAAAATATAAATGGTAATGATTGATAATGAATATTGGCATCCACTAATTAAACCATTAATTATTATTCATAACACTCCCCCTTGGATGTTCAATATTTAGAATGTGTCTCATTAAAACCTTACTAGGAAAAACCCTTTGGGATAAAAACCTAGTGAAGGAAAAAGAGTACATCATTCATAAATATTTATTTCTCTTTCTCATGCATACAATCTTTAAGACGACGAAGTCCAATCTTGTGTATCAATTGTTCAAAAACTTTTATTGGAAGTGACTTTGTAAAGAGATCTGTTAGGTTGTCA